CCCCCCCCCCCACAATTTGGCACGTACAGAAGCCTCGGCTAAAGGAGTCAAAATAGCTATGACATGACAAGTAGCAGCCCTCTAGAACTTATTTACAGCGTTGAGGATCCCGGTACATCCTTTCAATGGAATAGAACCCGAACAACCCCTAACCTGCTCCTGGTTTCAAGCGACATCACCGAGCTTACACACAGCCAAATAACTGATGAGCCTTATTCCGGTCACAAACCAGTCATTACTTGTATTACCGTCAATAACAAATGCATGACACCCACAATGTCAACCAAGCTATCATACGACTTCAAGAACGCCGATTGGCCTAGTTTCACAAACCTCTTAGAAAATGAACTTCACGCAAGTCCCATCAATTGCAACCACGTCCTGGCAAACTGTGCAACAATATCAAGAATATTATAATCAGATGGGCAAAGAAATCTGTTTCCCGTGGCAAGGCTAGACACTATAGAGTGGTCTAGTATATAACCCTTGAGGAACCGATAAGAAAGCTGGACGCCCTTCGAAACATTGCTGAACAGACTGGAAGAAATGGAGACTTAAAAGTCTGGAGACGGCAGTGATTTGCCCTAAAATAAGTCAACTAAAAAGTCACATGGACTATCTTCGACAACTCAATCTCAAATATCAACTATTGAAATGTTAGCCAAAGCAAATTGAAATTTCTGGGTAACCTCCAAAACGACAAGAAAGGACTCAAGAAAGGACCAATAAGGAAAAACAATAAACTGCTTGCCACCGACTCCGAAATAGCTAACTCCTTTATGAGGTTCTATTCCCACAAGCAAAAGGTAAATCCTTTTGTCAGAAACTCTTCAATAGATATGAGGAAACAAGCGACAAAGATTGGTGAAATTAAGGAAGACACAAAAATACCGCACAATGTACTTACTGAACCATTTGGCCCTCGCGAACTTAATGCTGTGATCAAACATATAAAGTGAAAAAATTCTCACGGCTAAAACGGTATTCATTCGGAATTTCTAATTAGAATGGGACCAACAGCCAAGGAAATCATGCTACTACTATTCAACAAAATTTGAGAGATCAGTCTCGTATCTACCCAATGGACAGTTTCCACAGTCCACCAATACTAAAAAGAGAACAAGGACCCCAGCAACTTTGACAGGCATGTTGACTAAACTTATGGAAATAATGGTTAACACGAGGCTGACCCGGTTCCTTGAAACCAATAACATTCTTGGAAACGAACAAGCAGGTTTTAGGCCGCAAAGATCAACAAATCAACAGGTAGCCACGCCCTCCCAACATACCAAAGATGCCCATGATGCAAGAAATGCTTTAAAGGCTGTATTCATCGATTTCAAATCAGCATACGACTTAGTATTGAAAGTGAACTTAATTCTAAAATAGGCAAAGATTGGTATTAAGCATAACATGCTAAACTGGATAAAAGCATTCATTGGACAAAGATCATGTAAAGTCAGATATGGAAATGGTCTATCAAAATCCAATCTTTTACAAACAGGCCTACTACAGGGAGCTGTCACAATTTGCACTTTTCAACGACTTCATCAATGACATAGCTGAACTGGTGCAGACAGTCACGGGCATCAAGTGTTTACTTTATGCATATGATCCTCGTTCTATGGTATTCCACACCCAAGAAAAACGCTCAGGAGAGAACGGAAATGCCTTAAATTATACACTGAAACTTTGAGCAAACTGGAGCGACAACAACGGAATGGTTATCAACACCTCGGAAATCTCCCTTCCAAACATTTTCATTGGCCCACCACAACATAAATCCGCATTTAAAGTACAAGGATTCTTCTCTAGAAAAACCAACGAGTTCACTTATCTCGGAGTGACGTTTGACAAGAAGCTATCATGGAAAAGCCACACTGCTAAAGTAGCAGAACGAATCTCCAATAGATTGAGCGCACTGAAGCGCCTCGTCGGTAGCATATAGGGCTGTGCACTCTAAACACCACTTACAAGACGTTTTTTCAGCCAATAACGCTGTATTGCTGTGATCCACCTATTACAGCCTCTGAGATGATTCTCAAACCCCTCGAGAAGATCCGATGATCCTGGTTTTAGGGAACACCAAAGTACATTCCTTAATCAAAGGGAAGGCCTTGACCCTGTATCAGAAGTTACTGCGCAATCCCAGGGTCAAGTTCTTCAGAACCTACAAAAATAGGCCAACACATCTAATGCAAAAAGCTATAGAACTGAAGAAAGCATTACAAATAGCTGAAAAACCAGAAAACCGTCCTTTATTCCAACAGATTGGCCATTTCAGGAAAGCTGATACCCCTCCAGATCAAATGCTCTCATTGGCTCTTGTGACCAACAATGTCAACTATCCTGCTGATCAATGGCTCTAAGTTTTCACTGGTGGGTCATTTGTAGAAAACCAAGCAAACGTTGGAACAGGTGTTTACTCTGAACTATTCTATTTCTTCTCAGCTGCGTGACAAAACAGATCCGCGTTCGAAGGAGAAATAGAGGCCATTTGTGCTCCCTGGATACAAAATCCTCCAAAGCAGTAATTCTTTCGGATTCATAGTCAGCAATAAATTCAACTGGATACAGAACCCCATCCC